TTTTAGTACACATAAGTACAAAATTTCCAAAACTACATGCATATTCCAATTCTACAATACGACAGTGATCTTATTTCCAAATTTCAGGATACCAGCTTTATTGGTACACCCATCCCCAAGTTGTACCATTTAGTACAACTAACTGTATCATACAGTCCTGTAGAAGTCTTATTTTAAAAGTCCACCTCTGAATTTCAATTGTATCCAATTTACCAAGTTAATTGTACCACATAAGTATTTCCAAAATTTTTAACATATTCCAATCTTACAATACAACAGTTATCTTATTTCCAATTTTCAGAATTCCAATTCTCTCAGTTCTGCCAAAATTTAATTTATACCAAAAATAGTACCATTTTGTACACAAAAGTACGAATTTCCTAAAATATCTACATACCTCAGTTCTACAATGCAATAGTAATCTTATTTCCTAATTTCAGCATTACAGCTCTATTGATTCACCCAAATCGAAATTGTACCAAATTTTGTACCATTTAGTATTTTTAATGGGCATGAGTACATGTTTGGAAAACTTCCTCCATATCACAATCATAAACTCCGGCAAATTTCACGATTCCAGCTCCATCCGTTTCTCCAAATTCAAATTGTACTAAATTTAGTACAGTTTAGTACTTGTCATATACATGAGTACAAACTTCTAAAAATATCTCCTTACATCGCCTCTCCTTGATTCCCAGTCTCCATTTCAAGTTTTTAGCTCACACGAAATGTTAGCAAATACAGATCATTTTAGTATTTTTCGTACACTTATTGTGCGAATTTCCAAAAAATCTAAATCACAAATTCCATCAGTGACCCTCATTCTAATTTTAAGAGTTCTAGCTCTACTACTTCCTCAAATACAAAGGGTACGATATTTAGTACTTTTTAATACTTTTCGTACCGTTCTAATACGACTTTCCAAAAAGCCAGCCTTATCTGACACAGAGGACCAGAATAACCCTCACCCAAAATTTCCCAAGATTCTTACTTCAGCGGTTTCATCTGGGCGTTGATGAATCAGTCAGTCAGTAAATTACTTTACGATCTTCGTATTTTAGACACATTGCCTATCAGCTTGATTTAAAATTTCGCATTTTAAGGATATTAGACACATTTTTCAAACATGGGACTTGTTCCAAATATGGTATTTGAAACTCGTAATTGATAACAGGCCCTGTATCAGAAAATTGTCTATATAGGATGATGATTTGCATGTCAAAAGGTTGATGTATTGAACATGTACTTCCTTCACGAATGAGGCATATAAAGACCTCAGGAACTTAATTCGACTCACATCGCAAAAGTTTGACACACTGATTACTGGACTACGCATACCACTATTCGTCGGTAAATAAGTAATAAAATTTTGCCATTAATTTCTCATAATCAAATTATGTTTTTCAAAAGTATATTCCGATTTTTTTCATGTTCTTTTCGCTTAATTGTTCTTTCAGCGCACTCAAGGTCACAATGAATCGTCATCGTTGTGAAGTACATTAACATTTCCATGGATCTGTATGCTAATGCGTAAAAATACACTCACACACAAAGTTCTTCTAACAAACAAAGGGATCACAAAACGTTCTGATGGACAAATGAGTGAATGAATGAATGATGGGTCAATATTTTTTTTCGCTGCAGACCATGCTGACCCTAGCCATTGTGTCCAAAGATGATGGTTGTTCGATGTCTGCCATAGTCATGCTGCTGATGCCATTGTCCATTCCAGCGTAGGTATGAATCGTATTTGATCATTATTTTATGCTTCTTTGATTTCTATTGAACGCAACCGGCCAGAGCCATCAGACGTCCAAAGATGATGGCTAAATTTGTAGATGGGTGTTTGCATTATCATGGATGGTTTCGTTTTTTTCCTTTGCGTTGAGAGTAATGAGTTGTTATTTACTTGAGAAATCACACCTTGACAATTCTGTACTTTAATTATCGGCGGCATGTCATAAAATGTTTCCGGAGGTTTTGATGTCAGTGCTGAAGGACATTTGGGTGTTTAAAAAATTCTGTGAAATAGACAAAGCGGAAAACGTATAGAAAAAAAAGAAGTTTACTACAGAATTAATTTTCAACGAACATCTTTTTTAGAGAAATATTGTTATCGAACAACTTTGCTATAGAAATAGTTGTTATCGAACAACTTTTTCACAGAAAAACCTTGTTATCGAAAAAAATCAACAAAAAAACGTTGTTATCGAGCAACTTTTCTATAGATAACGTCTTTATCTACAAATTTTTCATAGAAACAGTCTCTATAGCAACAGTCGTTATCAAACAAATTTTTCACAGAAAAACGTTGTTATCGAAAAAAATTCAATAAAAAACGTTGTTATCGAACAATTTTTCTATAGAAACAGTTGTTATCGAACAACTTTTCTATAGAAACAGTTGTTATCGAACAACTCTTGTATAAAAACAGTTGTTATCGAACAACTTTTCTATAGAAACAGTGGTTATCTAACAACTTTTTCACCGAAAAAGTTGTTATCGAACAGCATTTCTATAGAAAAGGTTGTTACTGAACAACTTTTGTATAGAAGGAGTTGTTATCGAACAACTTTTCTATAGAAAATGCTGTTATCGAACAACTTTTTTTATAGAAACGGTAGTTATTGAACAACTTTTCTTTAGAAAAAGTTGTTATCGAACAAGTTTTCTGTAGAAAAAGTTGTTATCGAACAAGTTTTCTTAAGAGAAAGTTGTTATCGAACAACTTTTCTATAGAAAACGTCTTTATCTAACAACTTTTTCATAGAAACATTTGTTATCGAACAACTTTTCTTCACAAAAAGTTGTTATCGAACCACTTTTCTTCACAAAAAGTTGTTACCGAAAAACTTTTCTACTGATAAGGTTGTTAGCGAACAACTTTTCTATGGGAAAGATTGTTACCGAACAACTTTTCTATAGAAAAGATTGTTATCGAACAACTTTTCTATAGAAAAGACTATTATCGAACAACTTTTCTATAGAAAAGATTGTTATCGAACAAATTTTCTATAGAAAAGATTGTTATCGAACAACTTTTCTATAGAAAAGACTGTTATCGAACAACTTTTCTACAGAAAAGACTGTTATCGAACAACTTTTCTATAGAAAAGATTGTTATCGAACAACTTTTCTATAGAAAAGATTGTTATTGGACAACTTTTCGATAAAAAAATATTGTTATCGAGCAACTTTTCTATAGAAAAATTGGTTACCGAGCTAATTTTCTATAGAAAAAATGGTTACCAAAATGTTGTTATCGAACAACTTTTCTATAAAAAAGGTTGTTATCGAGCAACTTTTCTATAGAAAAATTGGTTACCGAGCAAATTTTCTATAGAAAAGGTTGTTATCGAACAACTTTTCTATAGAAAAGGTTGTTATCGAAGAACTTTTCTATAGAAAAGGTTGTTTTGGAACCAGTTTTCTATAGAAAAGGTTGTTATCGAACAACTTTTCTATAGAAAAGGTTGTTACCGAACAACTTTGCTATAGAAAAAATTGTTATCGAACAATTTTTGATGTTTGCTTGTTATTGAACAAGTATTCTATTGAAAGGTTTGTTATCGAACAACTTTTGTTGTTTGTTTGTTATCGAAAAGAAAAGATTGTTATTGAACAACTTTTCAGCCAAAAAGGTTGTTATCGTTGAACTTTTCTATACAAAAAATTGCGATCGAACCAATTTTCTAACGAAAAAATTGTTATTGAACAATTTTTTAGGAAAAAAGTTTTTATCGAACTAAATTTTCCTGAACAAAAATTCCCATTCCCATTAAAAAAAAGGTTTAATCTTCTTTTGTCCTTTCTTCTTTCATCAACATTTTCCGAATTGTTTCAAAAATCCTTATTTATCAGGTTCCTATGTCATTTTATCCCACAAAATAAAGATACAACAAACAAACATCCTTACAGTGAACATATCCATAAATTAAACAGATAATTAGTCTGTCTTGTCAATTGAAAGTAGATACCCCCTGTCGAAGGTTACAAAAGACGTAATGGTCATCATTTTGAGTTTCAAGTTAAAAACATCGATCCATCCATCAACAATATTGGCGCTCATAAACTATTTCGGTAGTTAGTTCCCAAATAAAAAATGTAACTACATTGTTCAATTACATACCCTCTGAAGGACTATCGATACGTAGGCAGATACACATCGGTGTGGTAATTCTCCGTTATGTCACAGCAGGTAGTCAAAACCAGGAATTCTCCCATCATATCGCATCATCGAGACCAGACATTGTAAATCCTCCAACAACAAAAATGCATACATATGAATTGGAATCCTGCAGGTACTCAAGTTGTCTGAACATTAAAGCGTAGCCAATGTAGTGGTGACGAGATGACAGCCTTCCAATCTGGCGTTACTATCCCTGCACACAATCGAACAGAACAAACAATGCAACGCACGTAACATAAATATGGGAATTAACCTATCCTAACATCCTGTTAATAAATTCCTTTCATGTTTGATAAATACAAACGAGCCCGGACCCGAGGAATTTTCCCAATCTATGAGATTTTAAAATTCAAAATTCTTGAGAATAAGTGATTGATTTTCTCTCTTTTGACACAAGATGGATTCGTCAGTAAGCAGATAAGACGGATTGGACAAGGATATGCAAAAGTGTAGTTTTTAACCATCTTCAAATTAAGTGAATTTTAAAACAATTAATTGGGCGCCACATTTAAAAACATATTTTTTCAAATATCACAGAGTTTGAAATGACATGAAAGAAATTAAAAGTCAACGATTGGGCGCCACCTTAAAACATAGTCAAGTCTTTTATGATCGTACGATTACATATAAAGGGGTTAAACCACTGGATTTGGATGACAACTGTCATATCCATAATTTATACTTCAAATAAACCCTTTAAAGTAGGTTAACACCACAAAAAGATCTAACATAAACTTGACATGAGATTGTTTAGTAGTATTAAATATTGATTGAAATTTCTTCACGTTGTTTTTCTTTATTTTATTTATTTTTTTAATATCTTAAACCTTTTTAATATTTCCCATAATCCAATCGATATACAACGAGACCTGAGCATAAACATTGGGATATTGTTTCATACCGCATGGCTCATAAAACCAGGCTGCAATGCCGACCAATAATGGCAGTTCAGGTTCCCGTATCTTCAACAATGGACCTCCGACATCCTCTCGACAAAATGATTGACGTGCAATTTGCTTGGTGCACACCATCTGCTCATCGGTCACCAATTTCGCAGGCAATAAATCTCGACACTCACTCCACTCCATAATCGGAACAGTTAGACGTCTTGTTGCAGTGGCCATAGATGTTGTGGGATAACCAATAGTCACATGACCATAACCAAAGACATCCACAATACCCGTAGGGACCGTATTGGGTTCGGGCAATTCAGCTGGGCGCACATACTCCGTCCACACATAGGGTTCGCTGACATGCAACAGGGCCAAATCATCGTGATATTCACCGGGAACATAATTCTCATGGACAACAGCAAAATCTACGGTTGGTCGTTGCCAGCGATTGGAAGTAAGTTGTGGCACAAAGTGACTACCCGCCACGGCCCACATTCCAATGGGATTTTGAGCACAGCTGGCAGCAGTCAAGACCCATTCATTGTCGATTATTACACCACCACAAATCACAGAACCGTTCACCTTGTCATACAATCGAGCCATAAAATAAACATCAGTCTCCCAGGCATCTTTGCCCCTTAATATTCCATTGGCTTGGAAAATGGTCGAGGCGAATAGCAGCGAAATGACCAGAAGTGTTTTCATGTTGAAAAGTAAAACTGAAAATGAAGGTAGTCGCTTCTAATCCAGTCAATTTTGTGGCAATCAGTGCGAAATTTATTATCTCACACGTGGCCCAGATAATGTTATCTATGGATAGTAGAATTAGTCTTTGTATTATATTTTTATAAATAATGTATTCGAGATTTTTATCAATATAAGTAATTTAAATAGCCAACCCATTTTAAGAAACTGCTTAGGGTCCCATTAAAAATATATGAAAAATTCACAGTTAGAAGGGTGGTCTATGTATTCATAGAAAATTGTTCGATATCAGCATTTTCTAGAGAAAAGTTGTTCGATATGACAACTTTCAAGAGGAAAGTTGTTCGATAATAACATTTTCTATAGAAAAGTTATTCGATAACAATCTTTTCTATAGAACAGTCGTTCGATAACAATCTTTTCTACAGAAAAGTTGTTCGATAACAACATTTTCTATAGAAAAGTTGTTCGATAACAACATTTTCTATGGAAAAGTTGTTCGATAACAACATTTTCTATAGAAAAGTTGTTCGATAACAACATTTTCTATAGAAAAGTTGTTCGATAGCAACATTTTCTATAGAAAAGTTGTTCGATAACAACCTTTTCTATAGAAAAGTTGTTCGATAACAACATTTTCTATAGAAAAGTTGTTCGATAGCAACATTTTCTATAGAAAAGTTGTTCGATAACAACCTTTTCTATAGAAAAGTTGTTCGATAACAACATGTTCTATAGAAAAGTTGTTCGATAACAACATGTTCTATAGAAAAGTTGTTCAATAACAACATTTTCTATAAAAAAGTTGTTCGATAACAACATTTTCTATAGAAAAGTTGTTCGATAACAACATTTTCTATAGAAAAGTTGTTCGATAACAACATTTTCTATAGAAAAGTTGTTCGATAACAACATTTTCTATAGAAAAGTTGTTCGATAACAACATTTTCTATAGAAAAGTTGTTCGATAACAACATTTTCTATAGAAAAGTTGTTCGATAACAACCTTTTCTGTAGAAAAGTTGTTCGATAACAACATTTTCTATAGAAAAGTTGTTCAATAACAACATTTTCTATAAAAAAGTTGTTCGATAACAACATTTTCTATAGAAAAGTTGTTCGATAACAACATTTTCTATAGAAAAGTTGTTCGATAACAACATTTTCTATAGAAAAGTTGTTCGATAACAACATTTTCTATAGAAAAGTTGTTCGATAACAACATTTTCTATAGAAAAGTTGTTCGATAACAACATTTTCTATAGAAAAGTTGTTCGATAACAACATTTTCTATAGAAAAGTTGTTCGATAACAACATTTTCTATAGAAAAGTTGTTCGATAACAACCTTTTCTATAGAAATGTTGTTCGATAACAACCTTTTCTATAGAAATGTTGTTCGATAACAACTTTTTCTATAGAAAAGTCGTTCGATAACAACATGTTCTATAGAAAGGTTGGTGATAACAACATGTTCTATAGAAAAGTTGATCGATAACAACTTGTTCTATAGAAAAGTTGTTCGATAACAACATGTTCTATAGAAAATTTGTTCGATAACAACATGTTCTACAGAAAAGTTGTTCGATAACAACATTTTCTATAGAAAATTTGTTCGATAACAATATTTTCCTAAGAAAAGTTTTTCGATAACAATATTTTCTTTAGAAAAGTTCTTCGATAATAATACTTTTTAGAAAAGTTGTTCGATAACAAAATTTTTTATAGAAAAGTTGTTCGATAACAACATTTTCTGTAGAAAAGTTGTTCGATAACAACCTTTTCTGTAGAAAACAACATTTTCTATAGAAAAGTTGTTCGATAACAACATTTTCTATAGAAAAGTTGTTCGATAACAACATTTTCTATAGAAAAGTTGTTCAATATCAACATTTTCTATAGAAAAGTTGTTCGATAACAACCTTTTCGATAACAGCATTTTCTATAAAAAAAATTGTTCGATAACAACATTTTCTATAGAAAAGTTGTTCGATAACAAAAGTTGTTCGAAAACAACATTTTCGATAGAAAAGTTGTTCGATAGGAATATTTTGTATAGAAAAGTTGCTCGATTACAGCCTTTTCGATAGTAACTTTTTCCATAGAAATGTTGATCGATAACTATTTTTTTCATGCTCGATAACATTTATTCCATCGAGATATTACTCGATAACAACTTGTTCCATAGAAAAGTTGTTTGATTACAACATTTTCTATAAAAGATTGTAATCGATTCTAGTTAAAAAAGTGGTTATTTACTAATCGTTTGATCCAAACAAGGTTTGTTAAGAAGTGGGACTTGGTCCCAACATCTTCCCCAAACCTATAAAAGAGGATGTATTATATTCACTTATGTCGACTGTTTTTTCTATTCCCTATTTGCCTCTTATTTATTTCAATTTATATTAGGTGTATTTATATATTGTATTTTTAACAAGTTATTGTGTAGGTCTGACTGGTCTGGTATTTCTAGTTATTTCTGCTTGTTTCCATGCATCTGCGTTTGTCCATCTTCCTGTTTTCACAGACAGACAACTAACTCTCAAATATTTTCACAGCATCCATACCTGAGAATTCTTGGAAAAATTTATTGCGTTATTCACGTTTTTTCAACGCGATTACGTCAAATACCTAACCCTGTTAAATAAATATACGCAATTCTAGAAACAGATGTGCTAATGGACAACACATTTGTTGTCACCTCTTTGGTGTTTGCGTTGTGACAAAAGGATTGTTGAAAGGATTCGGAAAAGCCCCTTTGTTTTCAATTCATTTAAACAGAGACAATATTGATTTAGAAGACTCTAAGAAGATACATTTTAGCACCTTAGTCGGAATTGCTTTAACGGCAATAGTAAAGGATCAATTGTCACTAAACAGGTGGACAAATATTTTATTATTCAGGGAAACCCTTTTTGTAGGTAAGAGTTTTTGAAAATCCCCTTTTTCTTGGCATTGTTATGCTGTTGCATAAGCATAAGGTGTTTCTTACTGCTACTTGGGATAAAACTTAATTATAGAGTTAATCTCCATGAAAAGCAGTCCTTCTCAAAAATCTCGAGTTAGGGTTTTCTTTTTAATACCCTCCACCATAATATGGAAATATACGTTTTAGACCCCAAAAAGTATATATATATATTCTTGATAAGCATAAAATTCTATGTCGATTTAGCGATGTCCCTACTGTCCGTCTGTGGAAATCACTCTAGCTTCCGAACGAAATGAAGTAGATTGATTAAATTATACTCAAATGTATATTATGTCTGCAGTACTTTTGGTATTAAAAATGGGCCATGTAGGTCCACAGTTTGGAATAGCCCCCGTATTATGGTAACTCGCTATTTTAGGTATTTTGGTGATTTGAACGACAAAACCTGCCAGTGCACGTCCACGTCGTCGTATAGACCCTAATATAACGGCTACATTCGGTATTTTTAAGATTTCAAAAAAAAAAAAAAAAAAAAAAGAAATTAAATGTTTTTTTTTTTTTTTTTTTGAAAATTGCCAAATTCGTTCCAAATGGTGGAGGCTATTCAAAGTTCGGCCCGGCCGAACTTACAGCTTTTATTCGTACTAAATGGCTACGAACAGTACTAAAATGTACTAAAAATTGAATACATTGTATTGGACACACGGGTTGAGCTAGAATTTTGAAATGTGGAATTGGAGTCACTAATGGCGTGTAGAATAGATGTACCAAAGAGTAATGGGAAAATCCCACTAAAGTTACAAAAAGTGCTAAATGGTATTAAACTTCTAAAAATTTAACATTTAACACCAAATACTGATGTGAACTGATAGAGTTAAATCCTAAAAGATTGGTTTGAGAATCAATGTTGCAAAGAATATTTGATACATGAAGTTGATTTTGGAGAAATGTACTAAGTGCGCGTTTTGTGCTAAATGGTACTTAAGTTATAACAGTATGGTTTAGGATGAACGGATGAAGCAGGAATTTTGAAATTTTGCATAGGGTTGCCCGTTACTTGTAGGTTTGTGATAAAGAGGTAGTTTTGGAAATGTGTACTGTTAATGCATGAAAAGTACTAAATAGTAATATATTTGGTACAATTTGGTATTGGGTGACCAGATAGTGCTTGAAATCTGAAATTTGATATTAAAGTCGCTGTTCATGTGTAGCCTGAACATGTAGAGGTGGTTTCGGAAATGTGTACTATAATTGTACGAAAAGTACTAAATAGTACTTTGCTTGGTATTGGGTGAATGAATACAGCTGTAAGCCTTAAATTTGATATTGAGGTATCTTGTGGCATCTGGAATTGAGACATGGAATTGAGACATGCTATTTGGTGAAAAAAGAGCTGAAATCCTAAAATTTGATATTGAGGTCTCTGTCGGAATCTGGTGGTGATTTTGCAAATATTGTCATAATTGTTCGAAAGGAACTAAATGGCACGAAATTTGGTATTGGGAGAAGGGATAGGGCTGGAATCCTGAAATTTGATATGGATGCAACTGTTGGTGTCTGGAATTGAGATGTGGAGGTGGTTTTGGAAATGTGTACTAAGATTGTACGAAAAGTACTAAATGATACTAACTTTGGTATTGAGTGAATGTATAGGGTTCGGATTTTGAAATTTGATATTGAGGTCTCTGTCGGTATTTGGCGTTGAAATCTACTGGTGATTTTGCAAATGTGTACTATAATTGTTCGAAAAGTACTAAATAGTACTATGTTTGGTATTAGTTGAATGTCACAGTTGGTGTTTGTGGTTAAGATATTGAGATGGTTTTGAATACGTATACTATAATTGTTCGAAAAGTACTAAGTCGTACTAAATTGGATATTGGATGAAGGGATAGAACTAGAATCCGGAAATTTGATGTTAAGGTCTCTATTTGGTATTTGCGATTCAGATGTTTGTGGAAATGTGTATTTTAATTGTACAAAAATACTAAATGATATTAAATTTAGTATTGGATGAAGAAATAGAGCGGAAATCTTGAAACTTGATGTGGATGTCATAGTCTGTGATTGAG